CAACACAGAGACGACCGAGGAGGACACGACGCAGCACGCGCAGCAGGCGCAGCCGCAGCCAGTCGGCTTGGGACGAGGAGTGCGGTTTCGTTTTCGCGTGTTCGGTGGTGATTCCCAGGCGTTCCGTGGTGATTCCTGAAGTGTGAAAACAGCTGTAAATTCTACTTAAAGATCAAGAACCGAGACCCTACACCCTGTATCATGTACTCCTGAAGAGGTCGATCGTATGTTCTATACTATGTTCTATATGTCCTACCGTACCTTTTGTCTACTATGTGCTTGTGTAGGCCCCAACAGCTGTGACCAACTGCATCGCCATAAACATCTTCCTCGAAGAAACTGCTGCTGAGCCCCACAGGTAGCACCGTGTCGGACCGACGGCCTGGACCTTGAAGTGATCATAATCTTCCAACTGTGTAAAATCTATGATGCCTTTTGGTTGATTTAATTGATGAAAGGCAGAAATTCTGCACGGTTGGAAGATCCAGACACTCCATGGGACTGGAAGAGATAGGTTAGAGGCTTTCTTATGCTTCCTTGATTTATATATCCCAACCCCTCTGGCTACCCAACTTCTTGACCATCATGTCAATCACTAGTCCATATAAGGAGCGTCTGGAAGTGGAGAGTTCACAGGAGAAGAATGACCCCCCGTCAAAGGTGCTGTCGAACAGTTTCAATGTTCCATCCGTTGTAAGTCGATAATTACATTGTTCCTCAATGGAGTTTAGTTTCCTTGGCTTTGGATGGCAGGGGCGTTCACCAAGGAATGCTACCTGTCTTCCCTCTGCTGCAAAAGTCTTCGTTGCAGCAGTCTTCGTTGACAGAGAGTGTCTCTGTGTGTGTGAGAAGTGTGTACACAATTCAAATTCAATACAAATGATAACACATCGCAAACATCTGTCCGGATCAAAACGATGTTCCTCATGATCACATAAGAACAGGTTTCTCAGTCTGTCCACGACGATCGGGATCTTCTGCTTGGCCCATCACCTGCAATGCTCCCAAACCTCCCATTTTGAGATACCAAGAGAGGTTGAGAGACCTTATAGGACCCTGTGGCGGTACGGACCTGCAGAGATGGAAAGGCGCTTTCCATCGTCCACTCAGCCAGGTGGTCGGCCAGCCGAGCGGCCGATGCACCCAACACCACGACCGGGCTCCCCAGCAGGGATCTCTTGTTTCAGCATCTCCGCTGTGGCCTCGGACCGTTGGGGGGTGGGCATCCGGAATGGTCTGGTGCATGGCGCCAGCATCCAAGAAAGGACACCCCCAGGAGTAGAAGAAGTCAGGACCGTACAAGTAACAGTCTCCGATCTTGGTCGAAGTTGAGGGAGATGGATCACGAGTAATTAGGTTATTTTTTCTCACCAAGTGAGGTACAGTAGATCAGATCGTGTGAACAGCAATGGAAAACATATTGCCCTTGCAGGGTCACCTCGGAAAAAATCGATCACCGCTGAAGCCTCAGAGGTGGCGAGCTGGTGTCAAAGCCTTGAGCCACGAAGAAACTGTCCACTTTCTATAGCATTGCACATACCAGCACCTTTCAAGGGGTCACCAATGGAAGCCTTTACACTACATATGGATCTCCATTGGGCATCCCTTGGAAGGTCCAGGTCCGGCTACGCCCGGGAGCCTGGGTCTCCTTCATGGCCAGCACCTGACACGCAAGCGGGGAAAGCGGCGGTCCATGAACGACTACTACCCCACCTGGAAGTCATGATCATGAATCCACCACTTGCATCCGAGGGAGTCCAACAATGAGTCACGACTGGACGTCCAAGGTAAAGCGTCCGGAGGGAGACGCCGCCGCACTGGCTCTGCCGGGCTGAATGCGGGCCGGGGCCAGGACCCAAGCACGAGGCAAACATCAGTCAGAGCGAACTGGGCGCAAGAGGTCCAAAAGACAGTAAGGCAGTAAGAGCTTGAAGACAAAACAACAACCAGGACCATCCTGTCTGGGCGTCCTAATAGCTGGAGATCCTGGGATAGTAGTGCAGGGTACTCAAGCCAGGACACCCAGACAGCAAGGTCCTGGTATAGGGTCGGATGAGGTTGGCTAGGGTTCTGAAACATGAAGGAGGGGTGCATGGTCACCATCTGCCAAACGGCGTCGTTTCGGGATGTCATAAACCCTCGGCCCTCTACTCAAATGCTATATCTCGGCTCGGCTAACATGGCCTTTTTGTAACCCAGACACTCCATGTATGCCATATATGCCAATCAGTTGGGGTGGTGGTGCCAGGGGGGGTCAATTGATCGGCAGTCCTATGGTAGTCCCATGGATCGTCGTGTCTGGTGCCAGGAAGCTGGCCATGCAAAGAACTCCCCGGCTGGCCATGCGGACGGCAGTTCTGCGCCTCTTCCATCCGAAGGGGGGTTCGGCTGTCGTGCGGCATACCTGCTTCGTTTGGCGCCGATAGAAGACCACATGGGACGAACGAGCCGAGCCCCAAACACTCAAAACGAGTCGTCCCCTTCTTAAACCAACAGAGGTGGGTCAGAACCCGGCTGTTGGACTATCCCAGGAACCGGTACCCCAGGTTTTCCGGGTCCTAATTCTAAGGTCACTGGCTACCTCTCTTGGTAGCTGCTCCCAGATGCGATTGCTGGGCCAGATGGCGAGGCCGGACCCAGTCGTCCGAACCGGGGAACGGGGGTCTGGGGTGGCTTTCTCACCAACCCCCCGGTCCGGTTTGGACGGACCGGGAGGTCGGGGCGTCGGTCTGGGAATGATCAAAACCAACCAGTGACCTTACATAGGACCCGGTTTCAAGGATAAGTGACCGGTTTCATAGGACCCTTAATAACTCCGTTATATAAGTGACCGGTTTCATAGGACCCGGAAAACCTGATGTACCGGGACTCCTGGGATAGTCGAAGAGTCGGGTTCTTCAACCCACCTCTGTTGGCAAGTTCCAAAAGTGTCCTAATGATCCATGTGTGTCGCTCCATGTGTTTCACTCGGTCGTGCCACAGCTCTCGGTCATGGAGTGCCGGCGTGCCGGCGTCCTGGCTTTCGGAGCCATCCACCGAATCCCTGTTAGCCCTGGGAGTCAAAGACTACAAAAAGAATGGTCTTTAGGGGAACTGAAAGGGAACCTCGTTTACTCCAGCCAGTCAAAATATAGTCTTTGGACTTCAAGGGGGTACTGCAATATGACCGCACCAAACCAAAACGAACCAGCCAACCCTTCCGTCGAAGATGTTCCTCTTGCAAATCGATGTGGGCTCCTCTTGGGATGCACATCTGGTCATTAGATGTGACTATTGGTTATGTTTTTGCATATTGGAGCACAAGCATCAATTGTGGAAGGCTCATCATGCATGTCTTGGATAGGAGGCCAAGGGGTGGTTTATAGACCCTCTTGATCATGTGCTTTCCATCCAAGAGCCATCCTTTGGGTGGTTCTGGTAGGTTTTAGTATGGGAATCCTGTATGTCTTCCTGAGGAAAGCTGGAAGCACTATGAAGCATTCACACCTTTCATGTCAGTGAGTGTGGCAGGGTATGGACGTCTCGAGCGGTGCATAAGACCTTCAATACATAAGACCCTCCTTTACCAAGAAAATCCAATAAATAGTCGCACATCTATTACATCTCCATATGGAGGGTTGTCTTAATCCAACAGCCTGCATAACATTGAGGCGAGGCTATTTGATTCCACCATCAAGTTGGAAGCTTCACCAGATTCTCATGGGATCTGTCGTTCAACTTCACTACTGATCAGCTTCACCTACTATACCTCTTCACGCGTTCCTCGCGTTGGCTCTCGCGTTGGCTCTCGCGTTGGCTCTCGCGGCGCTCGCGCTCGCTGGTGGCACTCGTTGATCACCTCCTCTGACACATGCCCTTCTTCGGGCCAGTCCCTGCCAGCCGCACTCCAAGCAGAACGGGGCCGGCCATAGCGATACCATGCAACGAACCTGAATGACCCTCCATCTTGGACCACCAAACACCCAACATTGAGGAAAAAACAGATCACAAAAGGATTCAAACGGTTATGTCTGGGTTGTAGGGCCTAGGGCCTAAGGGTACCACACCTGCTTCTGGACAGTGCGCATAGCAATCCTTTCTCACCACGGCCCAGCTGCCCCCGCGTGACCGCTTGGCCCGGTCCCGGGCCGCCCGGCTCGAGCGAGTGTGATTGGAAGCACGGGCAGGTGCCCACGCAGGGGTGCTGGGCACTGGGCGCGGAGTGGCGCGGAGTGGGGAGGGAGTGGGGAGGGGCCAACAGAGGTTGAAGAACTCTATAGGCTATCCATGGCTATCCCATAGGTACCCCAGTAGGGTCCTATAAGGTCACTTAGTGGCAGAAAAGCCCTGTAGAGGCTGCCACAAGGGGACCGTCTGGAGGGCGGAGAAGCCAACCAGAAGAACTGTATGCATACTGGTTGGTGGGTGTCCGTGAAGAGCATGAGAATGACCCCATTAACTAGCTCATCATCACTATACTATATAGCCTAAATATGCCCAAACGCTGATAAGATCTCAGAAGGTACGACGGGAGGCCAAACGGGTGATACTTGCGGGACACCCTTTCTGAACATCCACGGCGTCACTCGAAGTAACCCTTTCTCCAAAACCCGCACGTCTCCCGCCGCAGGCGGGCGGAAACCGAACCGAGGACCAGGCGTTGCTTGGAGACACGCCACTTGCCTCAGCGTCGTGCGCAACGCTGGCCTTTCGGGTAGACGGTGGTGTCTCTGGTGTTCGTTCCGGTGGGGCGCAGCTACTCTTTGCCGATGGCTTTTGATCATCGATGGGTCCGACGGGTCCGGATTGACCATGATGTTGAAAAACATGGTGCATCTTAAAATGGATTTAAACAGGCTGTGCTGTATACAGTCCTTGCCCACACCTCGTGGGGCTGAACAACCCACACCTCGTTGGTCACGTTTCTTTCGTCCTGGCACTCACCATCCCCACACTTCTTGCTTCCTCCGCACGGCGCCGCGCTGTCTTTTTCGCGTCGCGTCGCGGTCCGCATGGATTGGTCAGACCATCATCTCAATGACATCCTTGGATTTGCTGGTTTCGGGAGCCGCACACAACTATAAACACCTTCAAAAAGATCAAAATAACTATTCCATCACATTCCCCCAGTTCCAAGTCGTTCGGGAAAATAGAAAAAATCATCCCTAAGCAACACCAGGCATCGGAGAGCCTCACCATCCTGCGGTGCCGAGAGTCCACCCGACACGCCTTTCTCTCGGGTTCAGGGTGTCTCAAAGCCTCGACCCTGGACCCTCGGAAGAACTTCCAACAGAGGTATCCAGTGACCGGTTTCATAGGACCCGGTGTAGTGTAGAATCCTTATATATAAACTGAATGTAAACTGATTGGTTGTTCGGTAAAAGGCTATTGAATACATGGTGGTTCGACGTCTGGTGATCCAACTGACCTGATTCGAGGTCACATGTCGGTCACCTGCCCTCCTCGGTCCCCCTTCCCAGCCACTGCACTAGTCCTGCACGAGTTCACGTGCACATAGAGCGTCAGCTCTTCCCGGAAGAGGCCTAGGTCCTCCATGCGTGACTTCTGTGGCTGCAAGCAACGGCCAACAGTGGCAGTTGGAGGGCTCACGCATGCTCTACATGACTAGGAGGCCACAGAGCAGGCAGAGCAGGCAGCAACTCGAATAGATCCAGCTCGTCTTTGTAAACCAGTATGTCAGTATGTAAACTGTCCTATGGGCTTCTGCCGCAATATTGAACACACACGCAGTAAACTTCCCTCTCATCAAAGCTAGGACCGAACCAGGCTAAGATCGGCCGCCCTCGCCCGCGATCCCGCTCTCTCCGAGCTCACGGTTCCCGCGCTCCAGCCGTCCGCCTGACTTCCGCGAACTCGAGTTCGCGACCTCGCTCTCCCGGTCGAGCGACGGATCGGTCCTGTTGGGCGAAGAGGTCCCGGGCTTTAAAGATGCGACGACTCTTCCAGGGAAGCCTCGGCTCACTGGTCCCATCCGCTCTGCAAAGGCGAAGAAAGAGTTTCGCCGAGAAGCCGGGGGACCAGACGTACACGCGGGTTGGTCCGAACGTGAGGATCTAGCAGTAGGGATTGACATCCAAACTGAAAAGACATGTGAAAGACGCCATCCATCAGCTAGGAATCGTCCAACGAAGAGTGCTCACTTGGTCAGTGCCTTGCTCTCTTACGCTCTTACCTTGTCATGATCCTCTTCTTTCGGGTGCTTCATGACTTGAGCTTTTCAGGACACGTATCAGTTATCATGACATGTATTGGACCTCAATCCGTCGTCCCACCCCTCAGCTCCAGTTCTCGCAACCGTTTGTGTTCCGAAGTGGCCGCTTGAGCCACGGCCCTCGCGGCCGCTTTTCAGGGCCGAGCCACGGCCCGAAGGGCCCGCACAAGCACTTGGGGAATCTCGTAGGTCTCGCTTGAAGTCGTTCGTCTTCCAACTCTTCTTCAACTCAACAGCCATTGAAAGCCCTGTACTGAACTGTTCTCACGCGATCCTGCAGTCTTCTCATCACACCCCTTGCTCCCTCCCTCCCCAGACGACTTGGGTCTTCCTCCCCTCCTCCCCACTCCACCAGTCTGACTTGCACTCAGCTCCGAGACGCATGGCCATCGTCAGGGTGATGTTCTCCCCGTCGCCACCCTCCTGTAGATTCTGCAGCACCGCCGCCGTCTCACCCCCTGCGCTACGCACCGCACCGCTATGGACCGACCGCACGGGATGGGCCTCTGGACCCCCCATCCCGTGACACCCGTGGTGGGCACATAGAGGCCACACGGAGTTGGAAGAAGATGGTCCCGTCCCAGTTTGGCGTGGTCAAAAAGAAGGACAGAGAGCTCAGGAGTGGTACGGAGAGCAGAACTCCTTTCAACTTATATAAGCTGAAGTGCGATTTCGTTGAGAACTCGCTAAGGGCGAACAAGGCACCCTTTGGAGCCTCACATCTACGGACTCAAAAAACACCCAACCCTTATACCTGGATCTTCCAACTGTTCAAAATCTATGCCTTTTGCCTGGTCTTATTGATGAAAAGGCAGAAATTCTGCACAGTTGGAAGATCCAGGTATAACTCCCTACTAGGAGTCACAAGTACGGGGTGGTGTGGCTCGTCCCATCCAGTGAGTGGATGTTCTGGGCACCCCGACTACCTCCATGGATCGCGCCCCTTTGTGACTGCTGGTGCGCCATCATTTCACCCCCGGAGTCTTCTCAATCTTCTCACTCTTCAGTGCCATTCTCACCAACCACCGCTTCAGCGCGCTCGCCAAAACCGCGCCTACCAAGGGCTTCGCCCAGATGCGAAGATCGCCATCGCAGCCGCCCACGCAAAAGCCCTGGTGTCCCAACAGGTCCTGCTGCGCCCCTTTCGCCGGACCGGCTGCGCACAGACGGCAAAGCAGACAAAGCCCTGCCCCGCTGGTTGCCCTACAGAGCAAAGATCACTTCAAGATCTCACATGATTATAACAGCTATATAGAAAACTTTATAGACTGAGAACGAACCACTGGATCTATAGGTTGCAGTGATAAAGGACATGTAAAGAACTCTTAGGGGCCATGTTCAGGGTCCCATGCTTGGGAGGGTCCCTCAACCACTGCAGGATCGGAGGGTCCAGCAGCTCGCTGTGGCGGTCCACTGGCGCTGTGACCCTTAGTGACCGAAGCCCCCGAAAAACGAACCGAAGAACCGAAGAAACACCGGTAAAAGCATGGTCCGGTCAAACGTTGACCTTCTTACCAGGACCTTCAAAGTGACCGAACTTGAGATCCTGGAATGAGGTCACTTAGTCCCTAAAGAGGTCACTTTGAAGGTCCAGGTAATAGTGTTTTGGTATATGACCAACATCAGTACAATGAGGTCATTCACTTCTATAGGGCCATGTATTAAAACAACCCTCCGGGTCGGATCCAGATCTCCTGATTCACCGCGATGATCTCCCGGTTCAACAGGATCTCCTGTCGATGGTTGTGGGACCGACCACCCGGTCGGGTGCTGCCGGTGGGGGGGAGGTGGGAAAACCTTCCCCAGGGCGAAGTTCTGCACTTTGGTCAGGCCATTTGGTCAAGCCGTGATGGCCTAACAGCCTCAGAAGAAAGACAACGGTGACAAAAAGAAGGCACCCCACGCGGGACCTCCCAAAATTTATCGGGACGTTTCTTCGTCCCAGAGAGCATCGATCAGAAGAGCCAATACAGTGAGACCGCTTTCACCCGAGTGCCTTGAACAACAGCGGAGATAGGAGGACCCACCCGCCTTGGAGCTTTGCTTGATGTCTCTCAAATTGTTGGACATGAAGAGCGGTGCAGCCCAAATGGCCCACAGCGCGAACCTCGTACGAACTCCGCGGGCTCGTGCACACGGGCCAGGAGTGGGCCATGGCCCGAAGCGCCGCACGAGGTGTCCAAATGGACGGCTGGTGTGCCCTTCACCCACCCGGTGACACGGGAAAGGGTGGTCAGCCCTTTTGCAGCGACAAACTGTGGGGCCCAGCCTCTGCCTCTTCCATGTTTGGGCTGTTTGGGGTGAAAAAGAAATGTCCCAAGTTGGTCTGAGGGCCGGGCCAAACGATGGCCTCAGTTCTGTCTGGAAAATAAGGGGTTCTATTTCTATTTTAAGATTCTTGATTGTAAGGATGCCAGGATGCCGCATGATGCCACTGCCACCCAAAAAAGGTACAAACAGCATCCACGGACTGGGCCCATCAAACCGGAGCGCCAAAAGGTCAATCCTGTATGTGGGCTTCCACGATTGATATTCTTTGTCTTGAGTCTTGCAATGTTTTGAGATTCTTGAGGACATCAGCTCGAAAACGTACCAGCACCTGCTGCAAACAGTTGCCTCTTGGATTTGGCCTTCTTGGCATGTGGCCGCTCCAAGCACCCCTCCAAAAAAATACTCCCTGCCTCCGTCCGCGATGGGAGCCACGACCCATCGACGCCTCCGAGCAGCTGGGTCTGCTCCTGCGAGGGCGAAAGACCAAAGTCGCCCACCAGCAGCATGTCGGGATCCTCGAGATTCTGAGAGTCCGAACCCACCATCCGAACGGTTTTGGGGGTGATGGGATGGTCACAAGCTTCGTTCGGTGTCCATCACCCCAAACCTCCGGTGGCTGCCAGACATGGAGCTTTGGGAACCTCGCTTTGGCCATCGGGTTCCTCGCTTCACGATCGGACCGGATCGTTCTCTGGGGCCCTCGGCCTCGTTCACTCAGGATGGGTATTGAAGCTTCGTTCCTGGAAGCCTAGACTTCCAAGACCATTTAAAAAATGGTTGACCTGGTTTTTGTAGTGTAAAATCCTTAGTTGATTCGGTAAAGCCCATTAAATTAATGGTGGTTGGAAGCCTAGGGGGAAGCAAGGTCCAAACTGAAGACCCACAGCCGTGGCCAAGCCCAGCTCCCAGCTCCCAGGGAAAGCAAACCTATGCGGAGGTGAGTGCTGATGGCCGCGCGTGCACGCAGGCTGCAACGATGTGCAAAGGCTGGTATAGGTTCCCCAGTGAAACCGGTTCTACAAATCATGCATCCGAGCCTGCTTGCCTGCCTGAATGTGGCCCAACAATTCTAAGTCATGCTTCTTCCCTGGCCCCACCAAGTGCAGTGCCTTGCCTGGTACTAAGTCTTCACCGTCTTCACCCCACTTTTTGCCATGTCCGACCAGGTCCTCCCGACCCCCCCAGTCTGCCATGCGATGCTCGGTCTCCGCCCTCCGCCGCAGACCTCCCCGCTCGTCTGCCGCTGGACCCCCCCGAACCGAGCGGCGTTCCAGTGCCCCGGCCCGGCAGCGCGGACCATCTCGTCGCTGGCGTTGCGGCGGCGCCAGAAGTTGGCGATGCTCTTCACCTGGGCAGCGAAGCTGTGAGACCAGCACTAGGCGACAGTAAGTCGGGTCAAAGGGCTATGGGGTGGCGAGGTCTAGGGTCAATGCAGCTCGACAGGCAGAGCCCTTTTTGATCTGGATCTTCCAACTAGGCCAAACGTCTGCCTTTTGGCTGATTTGTTGCGGATGAAAACGGTCGTTTGTGAGTTGGAAGATCCAGGTATGCCGTTGGTCAGTTGAATCCGAGTGTCACTTTGAGCTGGGTCTTTCGGGAGACCGGTGGCCCCAACGGAGCCACCGGCCCCCGGCGATCCGGGACCTGACCTGAAAAGGGACCCATCACCTGGGGAACCGTCATGGGATGGTCGTTGACTTGCACGGGTTCTGATTCAGAACGATCTGGGAAGGTGTGTAGTGAGTTCTCGAGAAAAGCGCTTAGTATCATTTAGTTGCATCAGTGTTGCTTTTCGGAGCTCCACTGTGTCGGGTGGCGCACATCCGAATCAATATAGTCTCTGGATGTCTTTGGGTTCCTTTATGGTTGTATTTGTGGATGTCCTTTCATGAATTGGAGTCATTAGCGGAATGCCAAGCTCCGCTGCGCGCCATTTAACCCTCTCACATCTGGAATGAGTACGGTGCAGGTGTGAGGGTCGACGAAGCGATGGCTGCGAATCCATCCTGCGGATTTGCATGCGCACCGTGTGCACAGATGCCTGCGTACGATCTGGGTGCTTGGCGCACCTGAAAAACCGCCTGATCGAAAGTCTTTTTGCAGGGTCCCCCAAACAGTCTCTTCCAATTCACCGGTGCGTCTTATAGCCCAAAAGTAAAGCCCTATAGTCTCACAAAAACTGACTCCCCTGGGCCCTGGCCCTGTTCCGGCCCTCCTCTTCCGCTTCAGCCAGGGCTCCGAGTCCCAACTGTCCTGGACCTGGCGAGCGCCCGAGCGAGGGACACCCGCGACCGTGGACACTTCGCACAGCCCGCGGGCGACGCGTCGGCGAAACCGTCACCGGACCGAACCGTCCCAAGCAGCGCAGAGCGCCAGCAGCTCGGATCGTAGGATGCGCAGAGCGAGCGCCAGCGGGGCAAAGCAGAGTTACCGACATCCCAAACACTCCATGGGACTGCCATATTGACCTACATTGACCCCTGAAACCACCCCAACTGATCGGCATATATGGCATACATGGAGTGTCTGGGCATTAAAAAAACAGAAACCAAATATGAAACGACAGAAAACAAACTAAAGTAAGTTCTGGTTAACGGTTCTTTTCACTCTTTTAAGGAAGAACCCTTCTAACATCTTCTAACTAACTTTGTCCACTGAGATTGTTAGATTTGCTTATAAATACTAGTTCACCATTCACGCCATAATGGGTGTTGTGGGGTGACGCGTGACATTGTGCCATCTGAAGTGTCTTCGCCATGCGCCATGGAAAACGAAAAGGTGATTCGGACGAGGAAACACGTCCGCCATGCGCCGTGCGGCGACCCATTCCTCGGGTGTTCATCTAAAGCCGAATTTCTTGAGAGGAAACCAGCTTGCGAGCTGTTGCCAACATCTATTCCGTACCGTGGTATATGTGCAAGTATATGCGTGCCCGTGCTATGTGCAAATCCAATTCTCGTGCCCATTTCACAAGATGTATCTTTCAAAACTTTAGGGCGTCGCAGTTTTGGAGGGTACACGTAGAGACCTATGTCTGGCATCAACTTGCAACAACTGTGGAAACAGCCAAAACTGGTTGGCAGTTTTCCTTCTCTGCAGCTTTCCATGAAGTCGGCGTTCCACTCACTAGAAGTCATTGCCATGTTGGCTTGGGGCCACTCACCTGGCGTCCTGATGTCTTCGACCTCCGGCACATCCGATCGGAACCGATCGTCCCCAGACGAGCCACGTCATCGAAATTCCGCCAGAGGTTGCCTCAGGACGAGCGGAGTCGACGCGGATCGATCGTGGTGGATGGATTGATCTACCAGGTGGAGTACAGTCCTGAGTCCAAAATGGAAGTTCTGGGTAGGTGACGAGTTCAGGCCTTCGTCCCCAAGATCGTCCAACCGGGCGTCCCGGAGCCCGGGTCGACGCTGCTCTCTGCTTCGGGTGGGGAGGAGCCCACCGATTCCGAAGTTCCAACCCACCCAGGTGAGTGCCCAGTCCATCGGTCGGCTCGACTTCTGGTCGGCTTTTATTAGACATATTATGACATATTGGTCCATGGGTTCGGACCAAACAAAAACCTGGTTTTACTCAAGATTTGGGGCCTGCAACAACAGGTCGGCCGTTTTTGAAGCTGGTCGACTTGAAGGTTAGGGTCTACATCATTATCATGATTGGCATCTACCACCACCCAGGTCGTGGCGTGTAGACTCAAATCCCAGGTGTGTTCCAGAACAGCCGGTGGTGCTGGTAGTGGCCACTGTAGTTGCAACATGAAGATCCTTTTCCCTTTGCTGGCTGGGGTGACCTACCAGAAGTTGCCAGCTTCGGACATCAACCAAGACGCCAGATCCTTTCGAAACATCCTTCTGCGGGTCGTTTCCGTGCCTTTCCCTCTCCACCAGCGTCGGTTCACCTTTCTAAAACCGGCGTCCGCTGCGGAGACGGTGTGCGGCCCAGATCATTCCCCGCCGCTCGCAGGATCAGACGCGGCTCACGGCCAGCTCAAGGAGCCGCTGAACGCCGAGCGGCAATGTTCCACCAACGAATCCATGCAGTGATCGCTCTTCTCGCAGTGCGAAGGCATGTAGGCCGGCCAGCTGCAACTGTAGACCTCGGAGGTCGCAGGTCGCTGGATGGATGTAAAGAGGAAACACTGAAAACGACCAGGACACACAGGAGTTGGGTGGTTTAATGGACACCCCTTATACCTCTATAAGGAGCTATCAATAGAAACTCCTGACTGGGGGTCCTGGTAGGTCTCTTCTGGGGCGTGTGGTGTTAGAATGTTTTAGAAACCCCCGGGGGCTTCAACGTCGACTCAAGGTCTTGCGGCGTTCGTCCCAGAGCGAAGGGACGGTCTGGAGGCCTCTGGGTGGACTTAGGCGCTAGGCGCTCTCCGAGAGGCGCTCTCGCTCCTCTGGCGATCCATCTGCATCTCAAGGATGGGCAAACAAAACGGAAGAACTGGTGCTAAAAAACTGCATCCCATGGGCCATGTGGCGGCCAGGTGGCTGAGGTGCCTTGAAGTTCAGTTGAAGGGCCGAAAACGTGTTGCTGCTTCATTCCGCCGCTGCAACATGAGCCCCGGTCACCCTGAGTGTTTTGGGTGCCCATGGTCTCCCGGAATTGATCTTGCATTGTGATGGGATAGGTGTGGAATGGTATGGATAGGTCGCGTACTATATTTATCCCTAGCGCTCCAAGTACCTTCTTAGAAGGTGTTTGGGGAGGGTTTAGAAGGTCTGAATACCTTCTGAGGAGGTACTTGGAGCCCTAGGGTATTACAACCCATTCATCAAACCATACTTGACCAGTGTTGTTGCAGGATGTTCCTGTTGAATCAACACTGATCAACACCCGAGCGGCAGATTCCCTCCTCTCCACTATCAGAATGTCATGGGTGGTCATGAACCATATCAACCCCAAAAGATCTTGTTACTGCGCTTGATTCTTTTGATATTTGTTGATGACCACCCAAACAACATCAACAATATCCACTATACTGTATCCCCTCTTTATTTAAAAAAAAAAAAAAAAACTCCCAAGCCTCTGCCTTCCGCTCGTCCAAACAAATCGACCCCGGTCCTAACCTCTGCTCCACATGATGTGTGCCATGTCGTCGCTCGCTGTGTCGCTTCCCAGCGGCGATGGGTCGCCCCGTCTGGTTCAAGGCGGCGCCAAAGGCTGGGTAGTCGCGCGCCATGTCCTGGCCACGGGTCGGAACGGAACGGCCTGGTGCGAGGTGTTTGGAGGCCGAGGTGCGGTGCGAGAACATGGCGGATGACTATGACTATCTCCAAAGCCATATGGACCTACACTAGGACCCACAGGAGTTGGGTGGTAGACATGGACACCCCGAATCACCTCTAAAAACGGGGGCGATCAAGTTCGACACCCCTGGCCCGGGTGTCCTTACCATGGACCATGTGAGACCATGACCGGATCATATTGATGAGGCCCTGGTGGACACCCCGAAGCAGCTCCGGCTATTGCCCCGAACCGGGTCAGATGTCAAACACTCCATATGGGACTGCCGTATATGACGATCAGTTGGGGTATGTTGGGGTGGTTTTGGGGGGGTCAATTGGGGCGGCATATGATTATGGCAGTCCCATGGGTCGTGTCTGGCAACTCACTGGTCAACCCTCCCATACGCTGAACCAATCTTTGAAGCTCTCTTTTCGCACCCTCACTCCTGTGACCGCACTGATGCCGACGCTTCGGCCTGGGACCTAAAACTCAAACACAAAAAGAACTTTTGCTGCATCTTTGTCAGCTCCTGCCTCGAGCAACAATCGCACCAA